TATTTTCTCTAATCTGACTGTATAAACTTTAGTTACGCACTTTCTAAAGGTTTCTAGAAGTGCTATTAGTTTTATATTATTTAGATTGAATTGCTAGTCTATATCTTTAGGTATTGGATATGTCTGTTCAATCTTCTATTTAAGTGGGATTTGTCCCAATTTTAAACATTGACTAGCAAAATTTTTAAAAGCTACTTGTGTTTCTGCACTCGCTTGTTTGATCAGAATATATCTAATTCCTGATAAACCTGGTGCTGTACTTGTTTTGAGCTTTTGTAGTATTGAGAACCATTCTTCTTCTGTTATTCTACTATTTAGATCCTTATAGCAGCTTTCATCAATTCTTATCATTGGTTAATATATTTCTTCCTAGCTGTCTGATAATTCTTCTTGTTAAAAGTTTCTTTTTTTGAATTAGTTTTTGAAGTAATTAGCTGTTCTTTTTAGGACTTCGTTAGGATTATTAAATAGTTCTTTGCTTCCTCTTTCATCTGAGAGTAATCTGTTAATTACTACTTTTTTGAATAGTTTTTCTAGCAGACTATTAATTATTCTTCTCTGGTTATCTCTTATCATTTCGTATCTGTGGTTTACATGATCTCTTATTTCTAGTCTGCTTGCTATATTGTTCTCTGCTACTAATTTGCTTTTGAGTATTGACTACTACCTTGTGAGCTCTTCTTGTAGCTGCTCGCTCCATAAAGTTCCTAGTATTACAATACTTGACTCTGTTTTTTAGTTTATTTTACCAACTTCTCACTCAATTTCTCTTTGTTCTTCTTCTGTTCTTCTAGTTTCTAGTTTTCTTTTGCATTCTTTGACTAGTTTTCTGATTGAGCTTATTGCAATTTGCAATTCTGAGCGAAATTTCTTTGGAACCTTATTGCAACCTGAATTTAGCACCTTCTTTCGAGGAATTTCATTCTCTGCTGATTGTTTAATACAATTGCTTATAATATCCTATTTCTTGTTCAAATCTACATTGACCATAGATTCTTCACCATTTGTTTCAGAATGATCATCTAACCATAGCTTCTCATTTAGCTTTTTCTTTAGCAATTGTTGCAGCTTGTTTCTGTAATTGTTACAATTTTCTTCTGTTACTTTGTTATATAAGAAGATTGTTCTTTTTACATCCTTTCTTTTAATATGTGCTAAACTATCTTTAAAGTTCAGGTAATTTAATAGTATTTTTGCTGCTACTAGTTTGTAGTCACTACTCGTATACAAGCTCATCTCTTCGATTGAGGCATTTTTGAGTTCAAAACTTAAACACTCTGAGATCCAAATTTGGTCTATTCTTGTACTATCTTTTCTATTGCTCTATAAAAATTCCCTTTTACTGGGATACAGCTTTCTAAACGTATCAATAAAGCTCTGTTTCACCATTCAATTATGAAGGGGAAGTTTTTGAAATTGCCATTTGCATTGTTACTTTTGTCATTACTTGGTTATGTGATATAGTTGAAGTCACCTATAATTATAAAGTGCATATTTGGTTTTCTTTATGCTATTTCTCTCATTATTGTTCTTTGTACTTCATTTCTTCTTAGTAAGCTATTTGGTGCTATATAAACTATAAAAACTATAAGTTCTAGTTGTTTGAAAAAGAAGTGAATCTCTAATAGATAGCCACTATGTTTTCTAATTTGTCCTATATACTTAAACCATTTTTTGCTTACTATTATACCTATTCCTGAGCCTTTGTTTTTGCTCTCTTCTGCATTAATCTAAAAGCTATCTATATTTACTTGATATCTAGTTATATATTAATCTTCTTTTTCTGTGATGTTTGTCTCTATTACTCCTACTATATCATAATCTTCTTTTCTAAATTTATCTATCATTGCTTCTAATTTATGTCTATTACCTTTTAGACTATTAATGTTATGTACTACTATTTTAATACTTTTCCTAGTCTCTATTGCACTTTCATCTCTCTTATCTGTCTTATCGATTGCTCTAGTTTGGTTTTTGTTTCACTTTGCCTTGTTTTGTTATACAAATTTTCCTTCTTGTACAAGTAAGGCTCTTTTTGATTCAACTGGTGCATAAGTTAGGAGTGATTTGGGCTTTTTATACCCAAGTCACTAAGCTTTTTTTCTAGGTTTTAAACTAAGAAGGCTATATATTCTAGAGATATGTTATTGTTTCTGTTTCTCTGATTGCCTTGAATATTCAGTTTTTCTCTTTTGTTATCTTTACATCCCTTTTGAGAGCTATTTTCTTTTCCTATTCTACATCTTTCTTTATTACTATCTCTAGATGCTACCATTGAGTTACTATATGTATCATATCTATCTCTATATGATCTAATTGCTATACTACTTTCTGTCTCTAGCTGATGATTATTTTCTCTTCATACTCTGTCTTATACAAATTTTGAACATTCGCTTTCTTGTTCCTGTTCAGTTTCTTTTCTTTTTCCTAAGCTTTTGCACTTCTTTTTCATTGTGTTTCAGTTTCTTTGTATTCTTTAAATCTCATATTTCTGGCTGCTTCATCTTCTTGTCCTCTTGTCTCTACTTATCTTAGTTTGTTATTGTATTAGTATATTAAGAAACTAGAGATGTTAAACATATCTTCTTGCTTGTCAAAATATATTGTCACACTTTTCATGTTGTTGTTGTTCAAATTTTTAAAGATATGTAATGCCCTAGCTTCTGATTTTTTAACTTGTCTCTATAGTAGTACCTCATTAGTATTTTCAGGTAAGTCAAGTAGTCTTTTGCTAAATCTGTTTTTCAAATGAAGTAATTCATAATTGTTAGTACCTGCTGTTATTCTTACCAGTACTTGGTTCATAAAAGGCAAACACCAAATCTCGTTCAATTTTTTTCTTTCAACTGTACCTCTTTCAAAGTTAACTTCTGCTCTTGTTTTATCCTATGTACTTTTAATCATCTCTATATACTTTACTCTTTCCAAGAATCAAACTATTTCAAAGACCTGTGTTCTTTTTGCCTAACTTAGTAGGTTCCAAACTGTTAATTTGTTTTCATCTTCAATTGCATTCTTCTTCTTTCTTCTTGTTAGAACCTCGTCTAATTCTGCCTTTGCCTGTTTATTTTTTCTTTTTTTCGTTGCTTAGTTTAATACTTCTGTTTCATTATTTGCTAAAATATGAGTACTCTTATCTTCTTTGATACTTTCTTCTAGGATTAGTTTGGCTTGCTCATATTCTTTTTTTTTACTTTCTAGTTTCTTTTTGCTTCTTCGTAACCTTTTAAGTAGTTGAATACAAGAATACACCAAAGATTGCCTTGTTTAAATTTCTCTGATATTTTTTTAAGATGTGTGTTTCTTCCAATTGACCATCTTAATGATTTTTCTCTATGCACTGCATTATCTCCAAGGACTTTAACTGCTACTACTTTCGCGCTTATATTTTCCTTTCCTTTGTATCTATCCTTGCTTAGTACCCAAATGCTTTTCTCTAGAAAGAAGTTAAATCAGCAGAAGTTAAGTCTTCTTCTAATTTTTCTGTAGAGTCAGGGTATTGGTTAGAGTTTGTTGGAATTGTTACTGTTTCTTAAATTTATTTGATGTCTTCCATTTGAATATAGTTTTCCTCTAATATTTCTGTTGCTAACAAGTGGTTTTTTCCTAGAAATATTCCTATCTCTGTTGGTCTGTTATCAGTTCTTGATAAGTCAAGTGGATCAGGTATTTCTATATCTATTTTGCTTTTGCTTTCTTGGATTATATATTCCTCTTTTTCTACTGTTGCATTTTAAACTTCTTGTCCTAATACAATTTTACCCTTATTGATCCTTTCTGTTATTGCTGCTCTCTCTATTACTTCCTTCATTCTCTAGCTACTGTTACTATGCTACTATCTACTTCTAATATTTTTGTGATCATTTTATCTATGTGGTCCTCTAGACCCATTACTGCTATGCTTCCTTCTGCTATTATCTCCTTACCATACTCTTCAGTTACTATTCCTACTAATTTAGTTGCTTTTTCTCAGTTCCATATATTTTCTATTATGAATCTTTTTAATCTAGTTTATTTATATCAATTTACTTTTTAGTTTTTTCTAACTTCTTAGTATATTATTTTGTAAACCTCCAGAAGTTGTCTGGTTTTACTATTGCGTATATTTCTCTATTTACTATCTATATATGACACATGATATCTTTGTTGTTCTGTTTTGTTTATTCTAATCTAATACGTGATTTTCTTTCTATGTATCACTTTTAATTGGTCTATTCAAGTTCTGAGTCTTGTGTAATAAATAATTATCAGATTTTCAGAGTTTTTATTGTTCCTCAAAAATTTTCCAAAATTTTGAAAATTATTTTGTCAAGAAGAGTTTTCTAGATTTTGTTTTTTTTTTGCTTTTCTTTAGTTATTTTTGCTACTTGTTTAGCTATAACTTCTGGTTCTAAAACTTTTATCTTAGTGAACTATGTTGTGTTTCTTAAGCTAATTAGTAGGTTTTTTATAGCTAATCTTTAGCTTGAATTTGGTAAAATTGATCTACAGAGAGAGTTGATTGTATTCTTTAATTTATTAAAAGAATCTTAGTATTTAGGAGTCTAATAATATTTAATATTTTTCTTTAGCAAATTATTTAGAAAAGAAGCTATACTAGAAAATTTAGGTATGAAATGTTTATAATACAAGACAAGGTCTAAGAAACCTCTTAGCTATTTTAGATTCCTTAAAATAAGAAATTCTTTGCTAATTTTATTATTATTATTATTATTATTATTATTATTATTATTATTATTTTTTTTTTTTCCTTAGACAGTCATGTCATAAACTTTATTAGGTTGTTAACCGTAGCCATAGCCAAGTTACATATAATTTTTCAATCGACCTAATTTCCTAAGCTTGACATCATCCAGCTGCTACTAGAGTACTCAGATGCGACCTGTCGTACTAGTCCAAAGAGACTAGAGAAACTATGTCTGACTCTCTTATGCCCCACAATTAGCTACTACCCAACTGATAATAACCTTTCGTAGAGAGAAAAAAAAAGCTAACCTGACAGTTTTCAACCCTCTTTTGTTAGATTTCGCTAACAGAAAAGAATACGAAAACCAAGACAAATATTTGAAAATTATAGGAGTAGGTCTACTACTTAGCCTAATCTCCTTTTCTAATACAAGTTTAAGTCTAAATACAAAATTAATAGTTTTATATACAGATGTCTATCTAGTTTCTATAAAA